GAGCTGCTGCTGGCTCGGCAAACTGACGTTGGGACTGCTGGAATTGTTGCCCCTGCCTAGGCTGGTAGGACTCCCGCATAGCCTGGCAGTCCTCCACCAGATGATTAGAGCTCTCACACCAGTGACATTGAGCTACTGAGGGTGTAGCCAATCCTCTGTCCGGAATAAAACTGTTGGGCTGCTTCAATGTCTTCACTAACTCAGTTACCTGCTGCTCGAGCCCGGATCTGGTCTCCATGGCGTGCACACCACGGTCCCGGGAATGTCTGCCTCTGCTGCTCTGCCCCCAGGAATGATCTCTGGCAGCCAAGATACTGATCATCTGGTTCAGTTCGGGTGGAGTCTTAGTAAGAATATCCATAGAGACTCAATCACCCTCTGGCTGTCCGGAGAGAGAGCATTGTAGAAGTTCCCCACTGTGAATGCATCACTGAAGCCATGATGGGGACACTGCCAGAAATATCCCATGTACCGCTCCCATGCATCACGAAGTGACTCGTCTGGCTCTTGGCGGAAGTGAGTGATCTCCCGCTGGATCTCTGTGGTCTTCGATGCTGGGTAGTACCTGTGCACGAACTTGTCAGCCAGATCATCACAAGAAGTGATGGACAATGGGGGCTGGGTCTCCAACCACCTCTTGGCATTCCCCGCCAGAGAATGGGGGAAGAGGTGAAGGAGGATTGTGTCATCAGGGACACCGTTCAGCTTGAACCCGTTGTCAGCTGCAGAAAACGGGAAAGATGCACCCTTGTATCCTCATCCTTCAAGCCATGGAACTGGATAGAGGATTTAATGAGTTGAATCCAGCATGGCTTGATCTCGAAGTTGTTCGCTGGAATAGGTGGGTAGAGGATGACCGGGCGGATGTCAGCAATCCGTGGAGTGTAGTAGTACTCCATGGTGGGACCCGGCGGCGGTGTATGATGATCAACCCCATCTGCCTGGGGTATGGGGTTGTTCCCCAAGACCTGATTTACCGGGGGAGCCTGGTGAGGATTCCCCCGGTGTGGATTGTAATCTCCTTCCATCTCGTACTCGTCCTCGGACTCGCTCCTCAAATGGCCGTCTATGCGCTCTTCCGTAGCCAGTCTAGCTCGTTGTTGTTCCTGAGTTGGCGACAGGTGCGTTCAATCTCTGGATTCAACGGCAGTAAACCTCCCGACTAGCTACGGGTAATGCACTACCTGCACACACTAAAGCAAACAAACCCGTAAAGGCACAAGAGGGAAAGAACAAACAGTCAATGCGAAACAAAAATGCTAATGTAACAGAAATCACTTTTCTTCAACAACCTAGCCGTCCCCGGCAACGGCGCCAAAAACTTGACTCACTCCTACTCTCACTCTAGAAAATGGCCAAGTGAAACCACTTCCTAAAGCGTAGTATAGCTGGTTTGGGTTTTAATGTCAACCTGGGTCCTAGATATGATAACTATTAAGTGAATTCTTATTATCTAGCGGTAAAACTTAAGTGCAGGTTCAAACAAACAAAGACACAAAGCAAGTTAAACGGTTGTTTCAAGTCGAGAGAGGTCACCCGGATATGGTTCCCCCTAGACTGCAGTTAAGCCGGATTGCAATTTACCAAGTTCAATTTCTATGATAGTTATACTGCAGAAGGTTCTTAAACAGAGTGAAGTCTCGACTAAAGGTCTCCAGACCCTCTCAGTCTGAGTCTCTAGCGGGCGACTAACCTCCACCGGAGTAAACAGACTGAGGCCCTAACGAACAAAACCTTCACTACCGAAGTAAATTCGGTACAGAATAGTGAATTGGCTCCTCGACTAAAGTCGCCAATTCACTACCTTCAATTAAGGGTGCTCTATCAACCTAGGCAGATATTCTCTTTCTAGGTTAAAGCAGAAACAACACGAATATGATCAGGATTCATGCCATTCAATCATTCAAACCTCAATTGAATATAATCAAATCATAGAATCTGTACTTGGTTCATACAATCAAACCTAACATACAAATCTAGGGTTTCCCATACCCAGATGAATGGGAGAACTACTCCATGGAGAAAGAAGCAAAAGCAGATTCAGATGCGGAAACCATACTGTGAAGGATGGATTTCTGCTCCTGGGCGTCGATCGGCACTCCTCCAAGCTCAAGCCAGGCTCCAATGGTGATGAAGATCAAGCTAGGGCACTTGGGAACTCTTGTTCGTCGCTTTCTCTCTCTAGGAATCGCTCTATCTCTCTAAAACTCGAATCCCCTTCTCTTTTGGCTGAAATCTGCCTAAAAGGGCATCACTGGGCAAAACACGATCGAGGGCACGGTCGTGCTTTGCTCCAGCCCGCCCGTGCCCTGGCCACGTGTTAAAAACACGGCCGCTACTTTGGGAAAACACGGGCGTGCTTGATTATGGACACGGCCGTGTTCTGGGTCAGTCCCGTCCGTGTTTTGAGCTAGTGTTTGACAGTCTTGGATCAAGCCTCGGCAGTAAAAACACGGTCCAGGAACACAGCCGTGCTTTGATTTAGGCGTGCCCGTGTTTTGGCTCCAACTCAACCGAATGACTTCCGAATGCCCCAAAACTCGTGCTTAGCCTTTCCTTCGATGTCGGGGACCTGAAAAATGACAAAGTAGCACAACCCGGCGTAAAATAGGCCAAAAATACACGACTATGCCCCTCAAACGGATAAGAACTAGGGTGCAAATATGTGCAATTACATCGTTATCATAAACACATTGGAAAGGACGAAGGGAATCGTTGCGGAAACGACGCAATGGACGCGATCCAAAGGTCCTGTTGCCAGTGACCCTGCAGTTCGAGGAAGGAAACCAGAGGCAGTTACAGAGTCAGAAGACGAGACTCAAGTTAGTACCCAATTTGACGAACAAAAGATGGCGGGGCAGTCCTTCAACATGATCGAGCTGCTTCAATCTATCCGAGCAGAGATAGGCGTCCTCTTTCAAACCCAATTTGATTGGCTAGATCAGAAGCTGGAACAGCAAGCACGAAGGCTTGATGCTGTCACCGCCAACGGATGCGCCGAATCCCCAAGAAAACAGAGACCGGGAACACGCCAAAATTCCCCATGAGCTCGTCGCCAGGATACAAAATCTGGAACAACGTCTTGTCATCCCCGATTTAGAGCACCGAAACCACGGAAGACAACTGGACGCTGATCAAAGCACCATCACTAACTTACGAGGCATCAAACTTATAATTCCAGCCTTTCAAGGAACTTATAATGCATCCACATACTTAGACTGGGAAAGCAAGCTCACGTTATTCTTCCAATGTGGGGAATATACAGAGCCACAGAAGGTTACCCTCGCCACTTATGAATTTTCCCATTATGCGGCACAATGGTGGGAAAAGGGACAGCTTCGACGCCGAAGGAATCTCCAGCCCGAGGTGACTACCTGGACGAAATTGAGGGGCCTTAGGCGCGACAGATTTGTGCTCGAATCCTTTCAGCGGGAATTACACGAGGCACTACAGGGCTTGAGGCAAGGATCACGATCCGTTGAAGATTATTTTCGTGAACTAGAACTACTCACGATGAGGGCGGATATTCAGGAGGATCGAGAAGCCACTATTGCTCGATTCCTCCATGGGTTAAACCGGGACATTCGATTGGAAGTGGATCTGCAACCGTTCGTCGAGTTGGAGGAGGTTGTCCATCTTGCCACCAAGGTTGAAAAATAATTAAAGTACGCTCCTGGAAGATGATTCTCGACCACCAGGAAACCTTCCACCGAAGCAGCTCCACCCCCTGGCACTAACCCTTCCCGAGCAGACAATGACAAGCCCACCCTCCTTAGTCAGCAACTGAAGCCTGAGGGGTCCAGCGCGAGCATACAATGTTTCAAGTGTTTTGGGCGTTGACATAAGACTAATCAGTGTCTGAATCGGAAGGCGCTCGTACTTCGCGACGGCGAATACTACTTGGAAGAAGAAGAGGAAGACATGGTAGGGGTACATTCACTCGATTCAAAAGGGGATGAGATTGATGAAGAAATTGTAGTTGCGGAACCCTCATCAGGCAAGCTCTTCGGCGTAAATAGGAGAGCCCTCACCACGGCAGCTCGCGTAGATGAAAATCAACGAGAGAATTTGTTCCAGTCTTGCTATGTCGTAGATTGCAAGGTATTGTATGTAATCATTGATGGGGGTAGCTCCGCCAACGTTGTTAGTCTGGATATCGTTAAAAAGCTTGGACTGACAACGACCAAAAATCCCGAACCGTATAATTTGCATTGGCTCACTGATTCCGGAGCGATCAAGGTGAATAAACAAGTGCGCGTTCCATTCGAAATTGGCGAGTACCGAGATGAACTGGTGTTCTACGTCGCTCCTATTCAGACAACACACCTTCTCTTAGGGAGGCCGTGGAAATTTGAACGTGGCATATGTCATTTCGGCGGTACTAATTGCTACAAGCTAAAACAGGGCAACAAGAGCTTCCTTCTAAAGCCACTCTCACCTGCAAACGCTCGTGATGATCAAAGATACATTGAAACCTCTAGGGGGCGAGACAAGGATAATTCTAGCAGCACTAATCTGGTGGCACGAAGGTTTTTGTTAACCGGGTTCAAGAAGTCGCGGGGTACCCGCCATCGTCGATCCAAACGGCCCTGTATAATCCTGCCGCAGTAGAGCAAGAGAGAGAGTGATTTGGGTGGGATCCCAGGAAGCAAGGCGAGTTGCACTGGACTTCCCAACACGATGATGGATGGCCGGGAAACGTGTCCACTGCCCAAAACCGAGCGAATCTCCATTGATTTGCACGAACGAATCTGAATCAAATCACCTCTGGAAACTACCGAACTCGGCGAGATTACGGTCGAATCGGTTGCAAGGGGTCAGGCTGAATTAACTCCACCAATTGATGCAGGTGAGTACAGAAGGGGTTGGGAAACGTGTAGCACTGCCCCAGATCTCTCGAATTTATCCAGAGTCAAAACCCCTAATTTGGGATTGCATTTTCTCAGTTGGGCAAATTCAAATTCCTTCATTGGCGGGAATGGTGTCTAGCTCGAGGGGACTCAATCTATGCCACCTCGACGCTTGCCACTGGGAGAAACACGTTCCTGGGAGGGATTTGCAGATGTTCCAAGTGGCAAATTGGGTTTAGGAGGTGCGAATTGGGAAGCCCCAATTTCCCTGTGGTCGCCGGAGTTCATCCAACAATTGGGGTCGACGGCGATGATTCTGACGGCCTCTCCCACAATGATTCTTCTCGACGCATGGTTGGACAGCAAGGAGGATGATTTCATAATGCTGATTGTGGCTACAGCCTCAACCAGGCGAGCTCGAAGAAATGATGTTGAACGATTGACGTGTCCATAGGCTTGGATGACTTCCACCCTTGGTAATCCCTTTAAGCAGCCTCCTGATCCTTTTGAGCTTTGCAGGTTTCCTCAAGCTTTGATGTTAAAGCTTTTCCAACGGGGAGAGCCTGATGATGAATGGGTTCGTGATCTCAATTACTTGCCATTTGCTGTTCAAGGAAGCATCGAGAACTTAAATAAGTGTAGAAGCCTTGTCGATCAGCTTCCTTTGAAGGTTCATTCGAGTAAGGAAAGGGACAATCGGGGAAAGCTACAGTCATCGATGACAAGTCTAAGACATATAGAAGAGAGGACTGGAGTTGGATGATCACGAACTAATTTAGAAGTCATCGCACAAAGGCCTCGAACGTGCTGTGGACTTCGTCTGGTTTACTTGGATGGGAAGTTGTTTGCTTGTAAGGAAAGAAAGATTGTTAGACGAGTTTTCTTTCCTTGTTCAACTTGGATTTCTTTCTTTGTTTGTTCTTTGGGTTTACGTTAATTGCCCTTATTAGAGTAGTAGTGGAATTAGGAGTCAGTAGTCTATTTAAGTGTCAAAGTTTCACGTTTGTAAGCAGAGAAGTTTCAATAAAAAACCCGAAATTCATAAAGTTGGTTCACTTGTGAATTGTCCTTGCTTGCCGGAGTTCAATCTTGCAATCAAACGAGCTCAGTATCGAATGATTAATCCCCTCATTCATGGTCGAGTTGCGAACTAAAATTTGAGCAAGCCTCTTCCCCGATTCGTGTGTTGAAGTTGCTTGACGAATACCACCATACCAACACCCTGCTGCTACGTAGGAAACTTTGGTTGAAGGCCACCCAAATTTAGGTTTCACGGGAGCTGCGGGACTCTGTAATTGAGCAAGCCGGTTTTTCTCATATCAACTATTGCCTTGGTAGTACAAGCAGATTAATTGACGAAATTGAATTCTTTTCTCCTTGGAAAGCTGGAAAATAAAAAAAGTTAAAGAAACAAACTTTATAATAATAATAACGAGGCATCATCAATTACCTCTTTTGTTCTATTTAGGAAACACGCGACAAAGAATAAGTTATGTTATATGGTTTGAAAACATTTTAATAATAAAATAAGTATTCTCCTCATGTGATTCGTTCGTTCCATTAACCTTCGCAATTAAATTTTTCATTATCGTTTTAGACCCATAGACTAAACCCAATTCATAAATTTTTAATTATTTTAAATTTATAATCGAAATCTAATAATCCGTAATAGTAATTAGTCATACACATATATAGTGGAGGTCCGGAGGACCCCAAAATTTAGATGCCCTGATGGTCGCAAATGTTTTTCAGGTGGTTGAAGAAGTGGATGCGGGTGAACCACAGTCGTACAAAGAAGTTGTTTCATGTGGCGAAGCCGCTCAGTGGCTTCCTGAAATGGGGGATGAGATGAAATCCCATGACAGGAATCAGACTTGGGAGTTGGTCAAACGTCCACAAGAAAGGAAGATTGTTACAAACAAGTGGATCTAATAGAAGAAGGAAGGAATGACTTTTGAGGAGGGAAGTAAGTTTAAACCTCAGGTGGTTGCAAGAGACTTCACGCAGAGGGAAGGAGTCAATTACATGAGATTTTCTCACCAGTTCTCTGGCATACTTCGTTCAGGGTGCTACTAACAATAGTGGCACATTATGACTTGGAGCTTGAGCAGCTAAAAGTAAAGGTTACTTTCCTACATGGAGAGTTAGAATAAGAAATTTACATGACTCGGCTAGAAGGATTCCAATTTCCATGAAAAGAAGACTATGTTTGTAAGTTGAAGAAGTCCTTGTATAGACTTAAGCAGTCTCCGAGGAAGTGGTAGAAGAGGTTTGACAGCTATATGATTGAGCTAGGCTACAACAAAAGTCATTATGATTGTTGTGTATATTACAACAAGGCAGAGGATGGTTCGATGAAATATCTGGTTCTCTATGTGGATGATGTGCTCATAACTTCGAGGTCAAAGTCTGATATCCAGAAGTTAAAGGGTCTTCTCAGTGCTGAGTTTAAGATGAAGGATTTGGGAGCTGCTCAGAAGATTTTGGGTATGGAGATTTACAGGGATAGAGAGAAGAAGAAGCTTTTCTTGTTACATAAGAGCTACATCAGAAGATACTGTCCAAGTTTGGCATGTCTTCAACAAAGCCCTTGAATACTCCTAGTGCTTCAAATGTTCATCTATCCTCAGTTCATGCGTCATAGTCAGAGGGTGATAAAGAGTACATGTAGGGAGTCCCATATGCTAGTGCATTAGGTAGTTTGATGTACGCTATGGTCTGCACTACACCTGATCTTGCACCTGTTGTTAGTGTTGTCAGCAGGTTCATGATACAACCTAGGAAAGAACATCGACAGGTTTTGACGAGGATCTTCCGGTACCTTAAGGGTACATCTGATGTGGGTATTAGCTGCGGAAGTGACACAAAGTGCTTAGTGGATTGGTTATTCAGATTTTGACTATGTTGGATATGTTGACACAAGAAGATCGATGACCAGTTATGTATTCACTCTTGGGAGTTCTGTACAAAGCAGGAAGGAAATTCTGCAGTTGACAGTGATAGTATCTACTACTGAAGCAGAGTACATGGCATTGATAGTAGCTGGTAAGGGGGAGTATGGTTGAAGGGGCTGGTTGGTGATCTAGATCTACATCATAATCAGGCAGTGGTTTATTGTAATAGCTTGAGTGTAATATGCTGGGCCAAGGATAAAGTCCACCATGAGAGGACTAAGCACATCGGCGTGATGTATCATTTCTTGAGGACAGAGAAGAGGATTAAGGTGAGGAAGGTTGGCACTAGGGACAATCAGGCTGACATGTTCACGAAGCCGGTTCCAAATGGTAAGTTCTAACATTGCTTGGACTTCCTAAATGTCTTAAGTGGGTGATTCGCCTTAAGGGGCATTGATAGTAGGAGGGAGAGAAGGATCAGAGTGCATCAGAGATTTTAGAGGAAGAGAATTCAAGTCAAGGTGGAGATTTGATGATGTGACTTAAATCGGACTATCTGGCGCTATTAAAGGGTTAGACCTTGGATAAGTATTATAAATACTTCTAATGCTGTATAGTGACAATGGATCTCTCTTTCCCGTGGACTAGCTAAAACATATTGTGTTAGTGAACCACGTAAATTGTGTGTGGTGTGCGTTCTTGTGTTTTGTTTTCTTGCTTTGTCGAATCCTCCTATTTGGCGATCCGCAGAGAAACAGTCGTGACACTCGAAATCCATCAACTTCACGATCTTGGCCTAGACCACTACCTCGAGGTTAAGAGTCAACCTCTGCTGCGCTGCCTAACTGGCTTAACCTCATTCTCCATCATAATCCTATGTGAGCAGAAGGATGGGTAATGCCCCTTATGTAACTGATCTTCCATGCCATGGCCTGAGCATATTTCCTCAACAAAGCCACCAGACTTATTCCCCTGCCGGATAAATACATACTCCAGATGAGAGGGGAGGGCTTAAGCTCCATCTCCGGTAGCTCCACCAAGGATGTGGCGATCTGGGGCGAGACAGGGATCCGGGGCATCCGATTCTCTAAGATTAGGTATAGTATAAGAAGATAAGGTAACTGTGGCCCTTTGTGCCACAAATTTAGCCACACTCTCGAGTCGGGTCTATATGTCCTGCAGAATAGCCTGTGTTTTTCTTTGACCAGCTTCAAGCTCCATGAACTTTCCTAATGCCCTTACCGTGAACTGCTCTGTCTTGATGAACTTTTATGAGCTGGAGCTGGCAAGGGAACACACGATATCTCACAGCTCAGCCATTAGATCACTCTATATTGGAGCTGCTGTGTTGGGCCCGACTGTTGAAACTATCGCTTGCTGTTGAGGAAGAGTTTGCCCCTATCCAAGCTGGTACGATAGCTGCTGTTGGAACTGGTCTGGGCGAAACTGGTATGGCTGTCTTTGAAAGCCTGGTGGCTTAAGATTGCTGGTACCACTTTAGGAGTAGTTCGGGTTCTAGCGCCACCCCTCATTGTAGGTGTTGCTGTATGGGTCTATGCGTCTGAATCGCTGATGAAGTCTAGCTGCTCCTGAGGTGAGTTCGACTCCTCATCGCCTGACAATCCTCCATCATGTGATTGGTGCTCTCGCACCACTGCACTACATCACCTATGGCTAGTTGTGTATGTAATCATCCCGGTACGGTCGATCAACGTAACAAGCTTAGAAACCATGTCCACCAGGGCGGATTATAGAGTATCCACTGAATGCACACCACGAACCGAAACTTGACGAGATCTCTTTGTGGAACCCCAATCATTACCCTTCTCTACCATATCCTTAAAGAGCTGGTTCAACTATGGGGTTTTATTGGCATGCATGTTCCCATTGCGGACTAAATCAATCAGCTGTCAGTCTTCGGGGAAGAGGCACCGATAGAAATAGCTCACTTTGAAGACGCCACTGAAACCGTGATTGGGGCACTTCAGCGAGTGAGTGGATTATCTCTCCCATGCATCTCGGAGGTTTTCATCTTCATCCTAAGAAAAATTGATATTTCATTCTGCAGATTTATCTTCGATGGGTATGGTAGCAATTCAGAATTTTTTCCGGCCAAGGCGGTCCATGTGGTAATCGAACTTGGAGCACGAGTCTCCAACCATGTCTTAGCTAGTCCCTCTAGAGAGTAGGTGAAGTAGCATAGTCGAATTGCTCCTTGAGGGATTCCGTTAAGCTTAATCCCATCAATCAGTTCGTAGAGCCGTTGTAGATGCTCCCAAGGCCACTCACTAGGTTTCCCATGGAATACCACAGTGCCCTTAAGCATCCGAATGACAGAGGTGTTCACCTCAAAGTTGTTGGCATCAACTTGAGGATGTTGGATGCTAGACCTCAGATCGTCAGCCCGTGGAGGTCAAGTAGTACCCTATAGTTCGATCCTCAGGTAGGTCTTGCACATCCCCCACTATATTATTGGGGTCAACCATT